ACAATTGTTGTTGTTCATTTGTTGAACTTTTCAACAAATTCGTTCACGGAAACCTCATAATGAAAGGAAACCAACAAGGATCGACGGCCGGAGGAGGAGATCGTTGACAGAAATTCTCATCACTTGGCGTTGAATACACTGGCAACGATGGCCATTCGTACTCATATTTTTCTATAAAAATCATGCATTCACATATCATCAATCTTTACTTAAATTCATCTCAAATCAATTCGTTATTCGGCAAATGCTCTTCAAATTTCGATGAACTGGGCAACCACCATTCATTCTTGAATAAAACTTATCGCATCATCCAAGTTATTTCACATCTCATCGACTAATCAATTTAACAATAATTCAATCAGTTCATCAACGAACCTTCACCTTCCTCAGATGTTCTCTTGTAACCAACACCTTCGCCAACTTCGTTCCTTCCATCTGCCTGCGTCTCCTTTTTTAAGCCCACCTGTTTGGTCTGCAAAAACCAAATGAACAAAAATATCCTTACTGATCATGTTACTCAATTATTATCTTGATTCGATAACCTATACAATGTTATTCTTGTAGATGACAAAACCCTTTCAGTTGAAAAACGTCCATCTAAACGTCATCCAAACTCTTTCAGTCCTTATAATTGTATATGCTCAATCCAAACTTACCACTATTTTCATCGTTATCCAACCATCTCATGCTAATGATTCATAACTGTTTAATTCAACAACAAATGAACAGTTACTGACCAACTGAGTGATTCGTTGATTGTCTGCGATAAGTTTCTCAAAACAACGATATCCTTCGTAAATAAGATCTGATATTGCATTCCTGTCCAACTCGTCATCATCACTATCATCCTGAAGCAATTGGTATACAATAAAAATGAGCAAGAAAACAAGTACAATGCACAAAGCCACAATAATGTAACGAAATTTTCATCATATTTTCCGATTTCAACTGGCATGAGCAAATGAGAATACCTCTTTATTGTCACACTCTGCACCAGCTCTTTCAGCCACAGTGCTCGATTTTGCACAACGTTCGTGTAGCAGTTCAGCGTTATTCAACGAACGAAATCTGCTCAGCAATTCATCATTATCATCATTCAGATGTTTCTTATTATTCAGCCCTAAAAGTTGAAACATCGACTTTACATACTTGATGCGATGTGTACTTCAAATGACAAAAACATCTGAAACACTATAATTTATCGGCGATTATAACATCGGCATTCATAATATAAACATCTGTCAAGTGCATACTGAATGCTTAATCCAGACTCATATCAAATGTAACGTCACACTTTCCAATATCATGAATCAAACGTTTTCTTAGCTGCTGAACAACATGAAGAGTGCTAGTTTAATGATCTTATGTTTAATGCTTCAAAACATATATAGGAGATACCTTTCTTTCTTCCATTATCGCGCAATTCATCCGGAAATCGCAATGATGAGAATGAAACATTGGTCTCGTCATCGTTATGCTCATTGCGGTCTTCTTCTTCGATGAATTGCTCGATATCTACAACACAACCGATCAGATTCCGTTCTCATCTGGCCTCATCAAAGTATGAATACGCTGTCAGACTGCTCTAAAATTGATGAGCTTACCATCTCGTAACGCAGTCAGCTCATCCGGTGAAACGTTGTAGCCCATCTCATTGATTGCCTCAAGCAGATCCCGTTCACTCAGCCAGCCTCGGCTACCATTCTGGCTGTTTTGACCATTCTCATTCACGGTTGGAGCCATTTCTTCGAGCCAGTCGAAAGAAACTGTACCGTCTGAAAGACTATCAAAATCTTGAAAATTCACAAGAAGATTAGACAACCTTAATGAACTTGTTGAAGCTAAATTTTGAGTACAACAACTGCATCTTCTCCGTAAGCCATATTTATCCAATTTTTCATCTATAAGCAAGCAAATCTAATCATGAAGTAGATCTGTTTGTTATAGATAAGACATTAAATAACATATGAATTCAAAATGCATGATCGAAATTTGTGAAATATATTTTTCTACACTCATTGTGAAACTAAATAAACTCTCTAACGAATAACTGCAGAAATCTTAGACCCGCATTTAGCAAACGATTTCTATTTGTTGATGCAGATAGACGGTGAGGTGATGATGGATTGTAAGTGTGTTTGGCGACTCTTCGCCCACCCAATTCGGCATCTCTAAAGGGCCACCAGCGAAGAGTAGTTCAGAAGTTCATTTGTTTCTCTTTGGGGGAGGAAAAGCACAGACTATAGCCTATCTCAGACCACTCTACGGCGATTGACTCTCTAGCGAGCGTTTCGTCATCATCGACATTCGGTTGCGTTGCGTTTGACGGCGGAAAGTTGAATTTTTGAACAAAATTTGCTTCCCGCATTCAATCGTTCGTTGTTTTGCGTATTATCTGTGCTGAAGCATCGTCGAGGTGGCGCGAATTTTAGATTACTGACACGTTTGATGAAAAAGGTTGGTTGTTGCTTTTCACCTTTTACAGAAAGTCAGTCATCTTTTTGCTTTCGCACTTCTTTCAACACAAGTCTTCATCATACACCCCCTCCCTCACATCATGTGACGTTTGATTCTTGTTCGAGTTCACGTGGTGTGCGTCAGCCAGTTGAAGAAATTTCCGCATGATGTAATTTAACACTTGAGACGTACTCGACTTCTCGAGTGTCTTCATGAGCAC